ATTTCTATCAACTTTTATATTGAATTCTAAAATCTAACAAGATGTTCCAAACATGTTCAAAAATTCATGTTATGAAAGAAAGTATAGTACATTTTAATTTATAAATTATGAACGATTCAATTGTATAACAAGAGGAGTTTTTTTTTGCGGATTCGAGTGAATATGGAATATTCGCTTATTGCATTTATCGTGGACAATGTTGAAATGTCTGGTGTATGAATATTGCAGGAATTATAGAAGGAAGTATTTTGCAAGGGTCCATCAACCCCGATATCTTCTCTAGACGGAGAACGCGACGATTTAACCGTCCTGTTCGCGTTCCTCGCGGTCGAGAGAATGTAAATTTCAGGCCGTTCCACTTGCACGTACCCTGCAAGAATCTCGGGCGTTTAATTAAGCGAGAAAAAGTTGCGTGTATATACGTCTCCGCGCGACATTACGTCGAGACATGTCGTCCATGCATTTCCTCGACGAACGTTTAAAAAATTCCAAGCCTCTCGCGTGCACAATTAAAAATTAATATTATATTTCTGGTTATTTATATTTTGACGATTTTCAAATAAAAAAAAAAGGGGGAAGAATCGTGGCAAGTGTAAATTAAAAATTTGCTTTATACTTCGTGGCACTTTCATAATTTGCCACTTAAAAGTTACCATCCTCCCGTATTACTGGCTAAATTTTGTATTATCCAATTATGTCCTAATTTAGAAAGTGTAGAAATTTCACAAGTTTCTTCTTGAACTTTATATTTATGCAACTCTTTTCATAAGAAACTTCTTATTTAAGAAGTTTGAAAGCTAAGTCAAATTGACTAACTTAAGATTCCTCTTTGTCTTTGCAATTATTAAAAATGTGCAAGCAAATCTTTTTTGACGAAGTTTAATATTCATTTTCATTCAAATAGATTCAAAATCGTGCATATTGAATTATTTTCATAATAATAACTTTCACTTTGAAATGATGTATATATTTAAGACACACACGTATTATAACATTTATCCTTTATAAAATTAAATCGTTTTAAATATCGGACAAAAGACACGCGATATGCAACTTTCTTAATTCTTATTAATCGTGGGATCATTCCATTTTTTTTTTTTTTTAACTTCCTCCCTGCTAGTTGCCTGCAATTTTATCCGTCGCTTTGAACTCGTTTCAAGATACGTGCATCGTATTAATTTCTCCGTTGGAAAAACGATGGAAACCGATGGAAGAAACGTGTCGCGTGAAAATTTTATACGAAAACTCCCGGAAATCTTCCATTCACGTATCTCGCGCGCCTCTCTGTCACGTAAAATAATATTAGAGGTGATAAAAAAAACGCCGATCCTTTTGGCTGAAATAATATATACGCTGAAAATATATTCGAAAGGAAAGGATCGTTCGAAAAGAAAAAATAAAGTAATATTTTCTGATGATCTTTAACGACTGAATTATACCTTAAATTAAGGTTAATTTTTCTCGTAAAACGTTAATTTTTTTCGTGTATTAAAATATACCAAGAAGAACGAGGAGTATTTCATTTATGCATGCCATAGATTTGAATTTAAACCGAAATTTTGTGCCTCGTTAAACTCTATTTAACCACCTCGTTTTATCATTTTTCTTATCTCTCACTGATTCTCTCACCATAATATTATGCATACAGTTTTTTTTGTTAATTTCTTCTAAAGTTGGATATACACGCCCTACGTACAAAACTTATCGAACTAATGACCATTGATTTCGTTATATTTAACTCAACGTTCTTTGTGCATTTTACTGGAAAAAAGGAACACTTATTCGTTAGAAGAAATTCTAATGTACGTTTTTCTTTTTTCTTTCTTTTTTTTTTTTTTGTTCTACTTCCACACACTGTACACCCAATCTCTGTTTTGTATACCCTACTCCACTTTGATGAAAATCCTCTCGGTTACAAGCTTTGAGGGCAAGAGAGACGCGCAGAAATGGCGAGCCGGCATAAATCTCGAGGAGACAATTCTCGGTAGTCATTGCACAATTTAACTGTGCCACTCGGTGGGGAGGTGGCAAGAACTCATATCCTGCGTATATATTTTGCATGCTCGTAAGAACTGTGAATGTCCACGTACAACGTACGTAAGAACAGCGAGCCGATTTTCGCATTTTCCGGCGTATCGTTAATTCTATTGCTGGATCGTGAGCGGGCAACTGCAATTCACGTTTATCACGTATAAATTCCATAACGGAGGATCCGCAGTTAAGAATTCTGTTCAATTATATCCCCTCAACAATTCGATCTTTCCCTTCTTAATTGCGCCATTAAGTCAACACCGAATCGCATTAATTCAGTCAACGTTCACACGAGTGTCAGGACCTTTCTATTTCTCGTCTCGTGCAAAATCATAGTTAATCTAAATTATCGGAGGAACGATTACCTCGTTCGTGCGAGACAACAATACGAGAAAATGTTAATAGGAAGGAACGTTTATTAACGCCGCGTTTGGAAAATTTTAAATATGTACGAGGATAGTGATATCAAGATGATATTATCAACGGGAATATAGAGATTTATTACGTATGAAAAAAAAGTTGAAGTTCTTCAAAAATACTGTTCGATTAAAATCATATTGATTTCATTTAATCTCTCCTCGCGAAATAATAATCAAAGACGCTCTCAAACACGCTTAAATACGAATTTAGCCACGTAATTCCTGTATCTTCTTCATCCCCCGGTCATAAAACCGGCACCGGTTCGAATTACCCCCGATAATACCCCTTTTACCGCGGCGAAATCTCGTTTCCCTACGCTAATTTCAACGTGATTTCCCCGCAGGCGGCGCGGACCCCGAAAGAATGGCGCCACCAAGGATCGAGGAGTATCTGGCGGAGCTGTTCTGCGGCTCGAACGTGACTATGCAAGTGGTGTCCGACCAGGAGACCCTCCTCCAGGAGTATCCGTTGTTCGCTTGCGTGAACCGTGCCGCCTCCATGATCCCGCGCCACGCTGGAAGGATTATTTTCCTCACCTACGAGCCGCCCAATCCCGCCTGCATCCTCGAAACGGTGATGTTTGTGGGCAAGGGTGTCACCTACGACACGGGTGGAGTCGATCTCAACAACAATGGCAATATGTTCGGGATGTCGAGGGATAAATGCGGGGCGGCGGCCTGCGCTGGATTCATGCAGGTCTCTCTTCCGAATTATTATTATTATGTTGCAAAATTTGGGGGGTGGGGGAGGGAAATTCTTCTTTCTGCCAAATATTTCTTGCAATCCAATGGACGATATTTGTATTTTTGTATTGAGAGATAAGGAAGATCCTATATGTGTATATGGATTTGACAATTTTTGATTGACATTGTAATTTTGTGAATTATGGGAGGGGAAAATTCTTCTTTCTGCCAAATATTTCTTGCAATCTAATTTGCATTTTTGCATTGAAAGATAAGGAAGATTATAGATCCTATGGTGTATATGGATTTTTTGATAACATTGTAATTTTGCGAATTTTGGGTTCTGCCGCAGGTGGTGAATTTGCTGCAACCACCGACTGTGAAGGCGGTGGCGGCTCTTTGCGTGGTGAGGAACAGTGTGGGTGAAAATTCGTACGTCTCGGATGAAGTGATCACCGCAAAATCCGGCACGAGGGTACGTATTGGGAATACGAATGCGGAAGGCCGTTTGGTCATGGCCGATGCCCTCTGCCATATCAAAGAAATGGCGCTGTGCTCGGTCAATCCGCACATTTTCACCGTTGCAACGTTGACGTATCATGCGGTACTCACCGCTGGTCGAGGATACTCGGTAAGTAACTCCTTTCTTTCTTCCATCGAAATGACGAATCTTTTGTTTCGAGAATTGTTTTCCTGCAAAATTGGCATCCCATTTACTTTTATATCTAAAGTATTTTTGGTATACAAGTATTACATTAGTACAGGCAGTTTTAGTTTTCCAGCTTTCTTCCACTTTCTATCTAACTAGCTAGCTAGCTGAAAGTTCGCGTTATTCAAATGAATAATTGCGTACAAATAATTTTGTAATTCGAAGGATAGATCGAAACAGAGTTAGTTTCGAATGAAATTTTAGTTAGAATCCGATTAAACCTACTTATCCGAACTTGTATTATTCGTGAACGAGGAGTCATAGCCTGGACGAGAGGAATTAGCGGAATCCTATTACATGAGTTCTAGTTATATTGTTTATTCTCCAATCGGATCGGATAAATTCCGATAAATATTTCTAATCGCGGATATATCATCAACCCCTTGCGTCGTTTCAAATCCGTAATTGAATGTGTAATAATCGAATCGAACTCGCTCAAGATCGCCATGGACAACGCCGTGGCGCGTTTGGTGAGCAACGCGGAAAAGCTGCAAGCTTCGGGCGAGACAATGGGCGACCCCTTCGAGATATCCAGGATACGAAGGGAAGATTTCACTTTCCACGAGGGTCGAACGGAAGGGGACGATATTCTCAATTCGGATAAGTATAGTTCCAGTATCACGAACAGGGGCCATCAAGGACCGTCCGCCTTCCTGATCATGGCCTCTGGCCTGGACAAGGTACGGTGACATACGGTTTATGCGTTAATAAGTAGACGATTTGTCCCGTTTCTCCAGTATGAAGGAGGAGCTGGTGGTAAACTTTAACTCGATCGGGGACACCTTTGAAATATTCTCACTTGGATATCGCCCCGAGCGCTGGCGATATTCCCGATCCTCCAACAGGTGCTCCAATTCTGGCATTGGCCAAACAGTTTCTCTTTCGAGGAGGAAATTTATACTTGAAGTTACGTTTTCAGGTTTCCTGAGTCGGGATCCTGAGTCAATCGTGTTCTTTTTTTAATTTTGTATTTCGTATATAACAGAGAAGCAGATCTTCAATCAAGAGTTTTCAAGAGAATAAACGATCGATGTATCTAATCAATCATTCTTCTTCCCCAGATTACCGGTCTTATCCCGATCCCGCGCATGGACGATCAAACCTGCCTTCCATTCCGTAAAATCAATTTCGTTTGTTTCGTAGCCAATGCTATATATATGTGTGCGTGTGAGACCATTAAGTTAAGATTTCGTACGTTTTTAAATCCGTCAGCGAATCAGTTTTATACAATAAAGAGTGCGGAGCACTCTCTTCTCCCTTTACTGGAGATGGCAAGATGAATTTTTTATGGGCGATCATAGTTTAGCATAAGTATCGCGAGAAGGCATTAATGGGAGATTAAAAAGCTTTTCCATTACAATGACGTTTAAAAACTCATTTACCCCCGGCCTACACTCCCCTCCGCCCGTCCTCGGTTCGACCACCCTTCCTCATCCCCTTCGTATCGATTGCAGCACGGTGCCTGTAGCTGCTCTCCTTTAAAATACACGAACATCGACATGGCCCCGCATCTGAGCCTACCTCACGAGCTACCCTACAGCGGTAATCCGGTTCTTGCATTGGCCTATTGCTACCTAATCCAAGGCAAATGTCTCACTGTCCGAAACGATCTGCCGTTCGAGATGCAGTACGTTTGCGAAGTGGACTGCAAGCCTGTATGCCTTCAACCGTGCCAGCCCTGTCCACCTTGTACTCCGTGCGATGTGAAGATATGTGCACCTCCTAATTGTTCCTGTTGTCCTCCGTGTACTCAACCTTGTGACCCGTATTGCCCTCCGGTTTGCCCGCCTGCTCCTTGTGCTCCTTGTCCACCGTGTGGGGGAGAAACCGTGACCCTTGTTCAACCGGTATGCAGACCGAACGTGCCGAAAGGGGTGTGCAATTAAAGATGATATTTCGTAAGGATATTTTGTAATAAAGTTTTCAAAATTTATATGTGGGCTCTCTTTTATTCGTGGTTCAATTGTTCTTTTATTGATGTTTTTTTTTAATCTTTCGTACGATTTAAAAGAAAAGTATGACGTGTTTTATTGGTGATTGGTACGGAAGGGATATCTGGAAATATTTATCAATTGTTGATAACTTGATTGTGTCAATCGTATTTTCCCTTCAATCGATAATATCCATATTCTAAATTACCAGCCAGTATAAGATATATAGATTCAAATAGATGAAAATACCATTTACTAAAATATCAACCTCGAAAAAGTACGCTCTCTGAAATTTATATATCGTTTTATTATATTTATTAACATTTTTTTTTAAAACTTAGCTGAAAAGATGATATTAAGTATTGATTCTTTTTTTTTGTTCTTTTATTATTTCATTTTTTTTATTCATAATTGTTGTAATTCAGTATTTTTGAAAATTCTTCAAAATCAATGAGAATGTATCTTTTTAACAAGTTTATCTTATTTATCCTCTATGATAAATATTCTAATTTATGTAAAGAAATAAAATATACCTTCTATCGAAGATATAGGTTATATACTGATCGACAGAGATCTTGTAGAAATCTTCAATACCTACATAGATAATGTATCGAACCTAGCGATGCAATAACGTAACTCTCTTCTCGTAACAAATTATCTGTACTCTTTTATTTAGCCACAACAACAACAAAAATAGAGGAAACTTTCTCTTAATTACGATTTTCTCAAAAATAATCAATTCTTTCGCAATTTCAATCGAAAAAATTGAAAATTGTGTATTCTGCACAATTCCAGAGAAAAATCGTGACATATGCCAACAATCTTTCTTGTCGGCCGTTGCAAATCCTATCTACGGAATGCAATCCAGGCAGACGCGACAGTAGACAAGAATCATCGAACTTTCTAGACTGTCGATTGCCGACTCGTGACAAAGCGAGTTACGCTAGCGCGGGGCAGCGATAACGCGCGCCGGTATTGTTGAACCTCTCCTATCGGGAAGTTTATCGGCCGGCCCTGATAAAATGGACAAGGACTACATGCCCCGCGTCGACAAACGGAATCGCGATATTGTTCGTCTTGATTGCTAAATTAGGCGTTATCGGATAGGAAGTTCGAAGATACGATGCCAATCCTGAACATTTCTTGGAATAATGTCTGAGATTGATTAAAAAAAAATGATATATTGCATTGTTTTTTAAATGTGAACCACAGTTTGATATAATATTATTTTCAGTGAAATAATCGACCTTCCACGAAATGAGACAATTCTATTTATGTTATACTAAAACGCGAAGTATATTGATATATTAGTAGTTAATAGTCACGTGGCGCTAGCGTCGCGTCACTTATTACAGTATTAACATAAATAACTATAATTTTATGCAGATTGCGAATTAAAAAAAAGAATCGATCAATGCGTATTTATTAAGTTATATAAGTTATAAGCAATTGAAGTTTAGATAAATTAGACAAAGTGAGATACAAATAGAATGAGAAAACTCTATCTTCGTTGTACGGCCATCTTGCTTTCTCTATCTCGCTTTATTCAACGCAAACTTACATCGTTCATAAATAATGCTCGAGCTGACATTTTTGCATACAAACTTTCGTGTTTTTGGTTTCAGAATCGATCTTCTAGAACGATAGAAAAGGAAAAAATACGAGCATGTAATAATTATATAAGGGAATTATTGCAGTTTTGACGAATTAGAGTGATTAATGGAAGGCAGAAGTCATCGTTCGATGCCACTGAACACTCTGTTTTGACGGCGTAACGCGCGGCACGGCTTGAAACGAGCAGGAGAATAACGTGGAAGGGAACTTAATTACGGCCACGTCCTTTCTTAATTAAGAGAAAATGTTTGGCGTATCTCGGCGAGATTACCGTGTACGAGTACTAAGCTTCCGTTTGCGCTACCTGCTCGCCAGCTCTCTCACGATCGAAAGCCCGATCCAAAACTAATTCCTCCATTCTTCCACGCGAACGACCGTGCCCGTGTCTCCGTTCCTTTTCACCGCTTCGATATATCGGCCGTGTTTGCACACGCGCGCGCCCATCGACGTTTCGCTTCTTCACCTGAATCAACAGAGATTATCCTTATCGATTCGAATCGTGTACATGAATAAAAAAAGAAACGATTCGAAGTTTTCAAGATTATGGAGATTCGCTGAAGCTCGATCAATTCAAGCAAGTTACGATTTTTAAAAATATATTTCAAATCCCGAATTCGAAAGGAAAATTATTCCCAAAAGAGATTATTCCCAACGAAAATTACTGTTTTAAATTTACCATTATATTGGTTACAAGACCTATCATCGTTGACAGCGTGTCGAGCTCCCGCGTTCCACTCTTCGCCTATTTAAACAGCAAGTTCATCCGGGACAGGATCGAGCAGGCATCCGTGTTCATTCTCACCGTTAAAAGCGTGCGATCTTCGGAGGGGACGAGGAGACACGCGAAAACGTCGGTCACGGCGGGAACACGTCTCCTCTAGCATATAGCCTCGGGCCGGTAAACATGGTGGCCACCGGTGGCATTATCGACGTACACAATGCCGCGCACGCCGGTTGACATTGTTTGAAGAACTCGAAGAAGAAGAAGAAAAAGAAGAAGGTATCTAAGAGTAATCATCTTCTTTGTCGTACCATCTTTCATCTTTGTTCTCCTCTTTGTCTTCGTTTCTTCATTTTCATCCTCGTGGTCAATTTTGTGCTTCGTCATTTTCGTCGACGAATTGAGAAAGGTTTCGCGATGGAGGCACGCTTTCCTAAGGGAGCGGAGGAGGGAGAGGAGGAGTGGGAGGAGGAGGCGGCAGAGGGATTCGTGCGCAGGGAGACCGAAGGAAGCGAGACAGAGACAGGCCGCGAGCGAGACGCGAGGAAGAGCGAGGGACAGAAAGATGGCGAGGAAAAGGTGGGGTAGGGGGTGGTAGGGGGCAGTGTGGCGGGTTCGACGGCCGGCTGGTGGCCCAGTGACCGGGACCGGTTCCCTCCGCGGTTCCTCCTTCCGCCTTCCTTGCAAACGCACAACTGCATCATCTCGACTCACCTCCTCTTCCCCTCTCCGCCCCACCGGCCCGCTCCACTACTCGCCAACCCGCCTTCTGCAGCCTTCCTTCGCAGTCTCTTCCTCTGCATGCTCCTTCGCGCTCGTTCCACCGCGGTGGAGAGTTGTCTCTATCATCGGGGCCCTCCTCGCTTTCTTGTTTCCACGTTTCTTCTTGTCTCCTTCTCTTCGACACGTCCACCACCTTCTTTTCATCTCCTCTTTCTCTTCTTCTTCTTCTTCCACCTTTTCGTCTTACTTCGCTTATTAATCGATGATCGTCGTTATCGATATTGTTGCTAATATCAACATTCTTTCATTTTCTTTTTTTTTTTTTTTCTCTTTTTCAACATCCTTTCCTAGATCTACTCCGTTGCTACTTCGCGTCTTTTCATTTATCCCGATTTTATTTATCGATGATTCTTTTCCTCGTCTATAATGTTTTCTTCGTCGATCGCACATTAAACATTCCGGCCCACCTTTCTTCTTTTTTTCTATTTTTTAAACTCTGCCGTTACTTGACGACTGCCGTCTCTTCCCGTCTCCTCGTCACCTTCTATCCTCAATCTTCCATTCCCCTCCTTCCTTATTCTTCCTTTTCGCCTTCGGCTTATGTACCTGTCCAATCGAAGCGAAAGTTGTCAAGTCAAAGAATCGGTGGTTTATGTTGTCGTTGTGTTATTATGGGTCTAACGTCAACGTCCTCTTCGTCTCCTTCGTATATCACGCGAAAGCGACACGCGCGAAACATCCTGGTCCGCCTCCTCTCTTCGGCATTCTCCTTGCTCCCTGCACACGAACAACTCCGCCGCTACCTCGTGCCTCCCTTTCGCCCCCTCCGCTGCTACCACCGTCGAGAGAAAACATCGTACCTCCTCGCCTCCCTCCTCCCCCCCCCCTCCTTGCCCCTCCGCCACAGTAATATTTTCCACAGCCATTCCTCGAGCCATTCTCACCCTTGCTCCCTCGCCTGGCCACCACGCTCCACGCAGACTGCGCCTCCAGACTCCTCTCCTCTCCTCTCCTCTCCTCTCCTCTCGCCACGCGGAAAGGTCACGCCACGTTTCCCTCTTTCATTCTTCCTCCACCTTCCTCGTCCCGCTCCCTCCTCCGCGTGGCGCGAGTCCTCGTTCAGTGATCGAACGGCAATAGCCACGGGTGGACGCGAGACTATTTATCCCACGCGTTCGCCAACCAAGATGCGCCGAATGACAGGCAGGGAGGAAGGGGCCACGTGACGAAAGATCGAAATCGATGAAACGTGGCACGATTTGCGTGCACGTACCAAATATGATGTATCGTGATCGCAAGTGGTGGATAATAGCGTGATGGTAATACCCTCGGCCCAAGGGTTTGAAAGGAAAAGTAGTTCTATGTCCGAGAGGGAGCGAGAGGTGAACCGAGCAAGGGGGAGAAAGATGGGGAGAGAGAGAGGCTCGAGGAAAGGAAAGGAAGTGAAAGTACGCGGAGGCCTGCGTTTACTAGCGCATCCGAGATTTCGTGCTCGTGTCGTTCCTCTCTCCGTCCTTCCTCATCCTTGCCGCGGCGTGCGGCCGCGCTCGTTCGACGTTGAACCGGCTCGTGCAAGGGAGCACCGATAATTTGTCGGTTGCCTCGTAACGAGCTGAGAAACCAGGAAGAGCGGCAGAAGAGGAGGAAGGAAGAATCGGTGCACGCGCTTCGCCGCTCGCTCGCTCGCTAGCCAAGTGGTTACGCGCATGTCCGTCTGTGCGCGTGCGCGTGTGTATTTTACGTGCACGTATGCACGCTCGCGTATATTATATACACGTAGCTTCTATGGGAAGGAAAGTGATTTTCTTCGAAGCACGCTGACCCCGAGACAAGAACGACGGCCGAGGGGATTGAAATCGGGATTATGCAACCGGGAGAATCGTTCTCTTCCCTTCCCTTCTCTTTCCTTTTCTTCTCTTTTCGTCCGCTTCCTCGTCGCTGACCCTGATGCGATGGCCGGCCACTTCTTGCAACATCGACCGTTTCAATTATCGCCTATTCATCGCCGCTGTCCCGCGAACGAGGAATAATAGTAGTAGTAGTAGTAGTAGTAGTAGTAGTAGTAGTAGTAATAGTAGTAGTATCGTGAAACCGAATGGATTCACCGTTTTATAGGTTGTTTTTTTTTTTCTTTTCTTTTTTTTATTTTTATGGCCGACTCGAACGATCGATAAGAATCAGCTTGCCTCTTGAAAAATTCTTTTTTCGGGGAAAAACAAATAATATTAATTTTACGTACAAAAATGTGATTCGTATTTATCATTTTATCGATTTGAATTCATCAAGTATGTAAAATAAAGCACGACGAAGAGTAACGTGACGCTTTGCGACGAGTGTCAAAGAGTGGTGTACAGTCGAAAATAAGATCGGGCGAGGTAAAGTTATCGCGAATTAAATTCAACGAACTCTTCGCACTTCGTTTCAAATTACCTACGGTGTCTGACGCTCACGGGATGGGAGTGTAGACGGCCGTGTAGAACGGCGGAATATTTTTCAATGGGTTAATATTCCTCGTTCGTTGCAGGGTTTATTCCGAGTTTCCTCGTAATAAATTGTCACGGTTGAGGTTGTTCGCGGCAAAAGTGAATTGGGGGGATATCGTACGCATCAAGGTGATGAATAAACCCGGCCCCCATTGTTGCCTGTGTGCGCCAGAAGAGAGATCCTCTTCCCACCCTGTTCCACGGAGCAAATATACTATTACTTTTCAAAGTACACGTAACGAATTCGAATATACATATATATATTTCTTCCCTTCCCTCCGGTCTACCATCGTTCACAGGTTCACATGCCCCAAACGGCATTACCATTACCCACGGAGGAGGGAATTATCATTTCGAAACAATAAAACTATCGTTTAATTAAAATTAATACCCATGCCGTGGCCAAATTATTATTATGTACGAGGGGATGTAACGAGCAAAGAACGTTTGAACGCTCGAGACATCTTCATTAGGGGGCGATGTCGTTTTATTTATGAAGGAAATGTCTTTTACTTTTCTTCTCTCTCTCTCTCTCTTTTTCGATAAAAAATAAATTTAATAAAATTCATATATTCTGCGAAAAATCACAGAAAAACTCACTTCGTAAAATATCTGAAAATATTTGATGCGCGACGAATTTTTTTATTTATCAATTTTAATCTCTAAAATGGCGTAGATTCGAGTACAATCTAAATATCGAAAGACACCATTCTCGTTCGTTCCAAAAAAAAAAAAAAAAAAAATAGGAGAAAAGAAGCCACGTCACCAAAAATCGGAATTACCGGTCAAGCGAAGCTTGATCGGACGAACGAAAAGGGAGAAAAGGGCCGGTGTTGGACCAACGATGGGGCCGTAAATGGCGGAGCGCGGCAGTAAGTAGGTGAGCCAGCGAGGCTGACAAAAAAAAAATCGGGCTCGGTCGATCGCCGTGAACTATTCGTGGGCAACGCGGTAACGGTATATTTCCCTGCTGGATCTGCTAGTGGTGTTCGTGCTCGTTCGCCGATCCATCGGGTCTCGAATTTATTTTCGACATGCTCCCTTCGTACCGCGCTGAAAGGAGGCCAGATCGATTCCTGGAACGCCTGTTTAACTCCTGCCGCAAGAGAATCGGCTCGATTCTCTTCTTTGGCCAATCTTCGTGGCAAAAAAGAAAAAAAGATATCGCGATGTCTGTCGTTGAAAATTCTTTTGGGATACGACGCGATAATATTTCATCCTGGTAGAATCGACAAGGATCGTTGTTAATATTATTATTATTAAGAATAAGGAATCGAGGAATTAATCGATGGTCGCGTCAAAGAAAAGAAAAAGAAGAAGAAGAAGAAGAATTTTGTAGATTAGCGGATTAGTGGTTCGTTGAATAATTCATAGCGAGATACGATTCTACGGCTTCTACAACCGAGAAATTGGTTCGATTCTCTTTGGCCGATCGTAGATACCTAGGAGAGACGTCGCGTGACGAAAATTCTTGGGCCAAAGAGGAGACGTGATCCGAATCCCGTCCGATCTTTCGCTTCCGTGCGTATGAAGTATGAATCATTGTAAGCGTCGAACGTCGTTATAATCAACAGGGGAATCGAATGAACGCGAGAAGAAATTAATTTTCCACCATAAATTTTAACACGAAAAGAAACGCACCAAAAATTCTTGCGACTTTGCGACAACTCGTATCACGAAACAACTCGTATACGATCGATGAACAAGTTATCATTTCTCTATACGTAAGAAATCGTCTCGTTTCCTTTCTCTCTATTCGTTCTGTAATAAATTTCAGCGAAAAAGTTAAAAATTCAATACACATCGCTCACACGCAGGAAAAGAAGAAAAGAAGAAGAGGCATAAAGAAAAAGAACGGGAAAAAAAATGTCTACGGATTAAGCGGATTAAGAATCGTTGGCGAATCGGAGGCGAATAATTCATGCGAGGTTGAGGCTCGACCTCCGGATTAGATCGAAAATGGTAGCGCGCTCCTCTAGGAGGAGGCCTCGGCGGACAAGAGCAGAACACCAGGTGGCGGTGGTGGTGGGGGGGCGCTGTTCGTTTATTTATGAGCTTAACGAGGCTTTCGTTTGTTCATTTGGTATTCCGTAGGAAGAGGTCGGATATAATTCTCGTGGTATCTGAAGCGGCAATTCCAGGCGGTTCCATTAGAAACTGACTTATAATTAGAATCTCTGCGAACCGTCACGCGTGTTTCGTGATTCCTGCGCCCGTCTGTATCGAGGCACGAACACAGAAGGAAAGAGTGTGTGTGTGTATATATATATATATATATATATATATATATATATATATATATATATAGTA